TATAATTTTGTTGAAATTACCTAAGCTAACATATGTGCATATTCAATTTCTGATGGCATAAAATAGCCTTAAGACGTATACTGACTAAGATTCAAGCAAATGGTTCTTTGAAATTGTACGCTTTTCTTTTATTATACTATTAGAATTCTTTGAAATTGTACGCTTTTCTTTTATTATACTATTAGAACTGTTAGATCAAACATAAGAACATAAGCTGCCACCACAGGGGATTTCTAAACAAATAATTTAGCAAATTCTCTTGTTGCACTACCGGGTAGATTGTGACAGCAATTTGATAATAGCAACCTTCTGGACTAGGTCTCCAATTCCATCTAAAATCATTGTTTTTTTTTCAGAATGTCAAATGGTTTACCAATTGATGTGGTCTATACTTGGGTCAATGGAACAGACCCAGATTTAATACAGGGATTGCAAGCTATGGCAAGTGGCTTTCAGGACTCTTGCCCCTTGTCTCATTGTGTCAGTGCTCCTTATGTTAGTCTGTTGTAAGTATTTTACTTTTTGTACCTATAAAATTCATTATTTATGTATAGAGGAAGGTAGTGGACTGCTGTATCAGTATGGATAGCTGAAGATTTTCATAGGAAATTAGTTAGATAATGTTTTTGTATTACTTTGAAAATGGGCCAGAAAAGAGTTTTTGTTAAGTGGACATTTTATTTGCAAAAGAAAAAAGGTGGCATATCTTTTGTTGTGAGATATAGATAATGAAGAAGCACAAGATTTAGGTAGAGCATGAATAATGATGTATTCAAAAGCATTAGACAAAATAGTTATTCTGAGTCATCATTTACGAAATATAGGTGCTCAGCCTCACTAGTTCTGATGAGTAACTTTTGAAAGTAATGATGAAGGACTCTTTAGATCTCAGTACATCATATAGAGACCTCAATCCACAGTCACAGTACTTCATTATGTATATTCTTAAATTGATTTTCTTCTGACCCTTTTATAATCAGACGTGCAACTGTCTATTGTAGGATTATTTTGCAAAATGCTTGTCCTTTTGTCTTTTGCCTTCTTGTATTCTCTTTTTGAATTTCATTTGTTCTTTATTTTTATCTTATTTTTTCAGAGAACCTACATTATCAAAGTCATTTCTTCTATCAATTCCTTCCATTATCGAAGTTGGCCATCACAGCATCTCTCATAATAGTAATACTCGCAACTTCACCATTGTTCGTGTCTTAAATGAAAACTCAGTAGGCACAGTAATGTCAACATTGTCTGAAGCCGTTGGAAATAATTCTCAGCCCAGACAAGCTTATTGGACGTCAGGTTAGTCTTTGAATTCAGCCTTTGTTGATTCTGAAACCTGAGGCAGTGTATATTTTATTTCACTTAACTCATTTTCGACAGGTGTCCCACATATGAGACACCTGAAAAAAAAAAATTGCCGGGCATCCTGCCGGTGTGATGCTGTATTGGGGCTCGTGCTCCAACTCAGCAGCGGGCTGCGGCTGGTGCAGGGGCACAGTCCGGGCCAGCCCCGCGTGCCGATTTTATGACCGCCCGGAAGCTTTTATTTTCGGCTTCAAAATATACCGACAGTAGTGGGTTAGAATATTTTACCAGTTGGCACAGTCTTAAAATTGTCTTGAATGTGGGATAGACTTGATAAATCTAAACAGGGTAAAGAATATTGTCATGAGATTCAATGTTTTAAAAGTTCTCTCTTTATCCCTCCTGTTGTAATGAATGTTACATTCATGTCATTGCTTTATAGATGTTGGGGGTGGCTGGGGTGTCAAGCAGAGACATGCAGCCCTAGTAACTGGAGGTACAACAATACCTCATGTTTCGCTTCTCAAGATATTGTTTCCCCAGCATTCTGATATCACTTCAGTGGTGAGTTGAAGTACATTTGTTGTTTTGTTGTTGATGTCTCCTGTCCTCCTTGACTCACCTCTTCATTCCATGGTTCTGATGAACTAGTAGAATTTTCACACTTCAGATTGCTACTGTGTATTTTTCCTGTTTTGTAGTAATGAAGTATAGATATAATTTCTAATATAGTGCCTTCTTGCAGTGCACAGTGTCAGAAGCCAATGCTGTGCAGGTTGTGGAATGTAAAGATGAAGATCTCATCTCTCACCTTCTCCAGACAGCTGTCAACAGTGAAGGCTTACCAGAAACACTCAAAGTTAGACAGGCTATGTTAATGTTGCAACCTGATAAAGAAGATCAATTAAAAGAAGTGGATGTGAATAGGTTTATAGATAATGAAGTAAGTATTACTTGAGGACACATGGCTGTAAGGGACAACATTTATGTCAGTGTATATGCCAGAATTTAAACTTTAAATGATCACCCTGTTATTAAAGTCACCTCAGAGTAGTGACATAGAACAGTACTTACTGCTGAGACTTTGTGGCAAGTCTGTGAGGATGAATTTAAATGGAGGTCATATTAACCCAATGCCCCAGAGAAAAAGTGTTCAATATAGTATTGTTTTGTGAAATGTCTCTGTACATGGATGGCTCTGCAAGTCCTAAGCCACAAAGGAGTCAATTAGTAGACCTTGTGACCTCCTCTGATTTCACCTTTCCTTGAGTTCGCAGGAAGTTTTTTTTCTAATGCTATCAATATTGTTATTTTTATTATAGACCTCATAATTACTATAGTGTTATTGACATTACTAACAGCAATGTTAGATACCAGAAGATATTTTTGAAAATCAATGAAAAGGGTAAACAGGTGAGACAGTTAGTACTTTTGATTGGCTTATTGGTGGTACTTGTGGGGCCATCTATGTGTAAAAAACAATTACTAAATGTACACACATGCCATCCCCAACAGCATGGTGTTAACCCCATTAAGGGGACCGTCCCGGAGAGAGGGGGGAGGAGGGGGTTAAATTGAGTTAGTTAGCGTATAGTATAGGTACATGGATGAGGAAACTACCAAACGAGTATTAACCGCCTGCTATGGCTCGTTGTCTTGCAGCCGGCGTGCGAGTCCCTCAGCACCCGGAGAGGTACGTCGCTATTGAGCGCCCAGGTACACCTATGTGGACTTTTGCTTGCGGCAATCGTGCATAAGGCATTTAATTATGACATTGCGCATAGATATGAGTTCGTGAATGTTCAAGGAACACTTTTATACCAATATCAGAAAAAAATTATATCACCGTGATTTATGACGAAATATTTTGTGAAATATATCTAAAAAAAAATGTATGTTTTGTGTCCTTTTACACACGAAATATGCTTTGATCGAGACTCCCTGGTAATATGTTTTAGTTTACGTGGTAATATATACGTATATCACATACGAAGCACTAATGTTTAAAAATAGCCTTATAAGGAAGGATTGAAATATTTCCGTTACATTTCGCTCAACGGTCGGTACATCACAGCAGGGGGCAATTTGAATTGATTTGAAATTGGTAGTTACCGTTGTAAAGACCAATTCAATACGAATGTTACCTAAATGTCGGATTTTTAAACTTCGGATGTATAAGCGAGATACAGATTATTTCATGTTGAAGATGATAGTACTCAGTAATACCTGCTCTGAAATAAAAACTATATGGAATTTTGAGCTCGGTTGTATGCGTAGTCTTCGTCTGGCGTTCAAAAAGCTATCGCATCCGTTTCGTGCGTTCCCGATAAAAATGAATATGTTTAGACGTTACCGTAAGTCTTAGGCACCATAAATTGGCAAATATCCCACAACACATAGGCGTCTGCATGATTTTATGCACTTCTTAGTAAAGATAATGGGTGCAAATGGCTAATCATAAACTTTACACTTGTTCTCCTTGCAATCTGTAATATTGACAATTATCAAAGAAAATGGGTATGAGAGGGATAACTAATAAATTTTATTATTTAGATATGAAAGTCAATGTAGGCCTACTAAATGATGATGATTAATCTTTTTAACTTTATGTGCGTGCGTTCACGTACATATGATCCTCCTCGAAAATTATAAACACCCAGTGACCATCTCCCCCTCCCCCCCCCTGTGTGAGGCATGGGGAATATTCAACGACTTTCGTAAGTTCTCGAATTCAATGTACTAAATTCATATGCTTTTGAAATTCTCAAAATTGAACCACCATGTTGTATTCATGCCAGGACTTTATAATTAGAATGATTTTGTACTAATATTGCCATCCACAGTTCCCCATTTCTTCAAAAAATAAAAAAAAATAAAAAAAATGGAAAATAAAAAAAATATTTTTTTTAAAAAAAGGTTTTTATCTGGTTTAGATTAGTTGTCTCTATGGTAAAATGCATTTATTAAGCTTTTCACACGAAAATATCAACTTTAATGAACAACGAAAAAAAAAAAAAAAAAAAAAGTGACATACCTTTACAGAATAGCGTCCCTATTGAACATGAAAATTCCTATTGACTTGGTAATCATTGCATTGCAAAGTACACTAAATAAGCGTTTTTTTGATATATAATATCATTAGATTCAGAGAAAAATAACAGAGATAACGAACTTTGGCAAGGTGCCAAATACAAAACGCCGTAGCTCGGCTATTTTTTTATGAATCTTCGGTACTTCCCAACTCACGTAATTTTCATGCGATCCAAATGCAGTTTGTTGCTTTCACTAGAGCCTCGGCGTCCCATAGCCATGTAAAAGGCCGATTTTTGAATTTTTGCCTTAATCAAAAAATAATAATATTTTAATGCTGAAAAACGCATTCAAAAATAGTTCTCTATGTCAAGCTGTCCCCCGCCAAAAAAAAAAGGAAATTCAAAATTCGGCCTTTTACATGGCTATAGGCTAGAGTTGATCTAACACTAGCATTTTTGGGGGAATATTCTGTAAAGAGCTCTGATAGTTGGGATGTACCGAAGACATACCAAAAAAGCGATTTTTTTCAACTTTTTGGGGGGTGCCCCCCCCAATGGGGAGCAAAGTTAAAATTTATATATATAACGGAGCGCAATTCTTTACTCTATAGCATGCAAAAAGAATCAATCAGTTATCTCTAACCGATATTTTTTTATGATGTATAGAGTAGGGAAAGGTGGCCATTTTCCGGGACGGTCCCCTTAAATTGTATCTGAGCAAACTCACTGTCATGCCCAGCCACATTAGGGTATTAGATTTTCATCTTTCTTTATAAGTAGTTTCTAGCATTGATATTTGTATAGCTTGATATTACACAGCAGGAACTGTACATATTGTTCTAGTGTGTCACCTAATGATTGAATTGTGGCGTGTTAAATATTGATAAAAGTTACTGCTGTCATAGAATGAACAGAAAAGGGGAGGGGAGAATACAGAGGAGGAGAACAGTTTAACTAATACAGTACCCTTATATGCTGACACATATAGTACTTGCCTACAGTTTTAAAGATATGCACTCTAATTTATGAAATATATTTATTGTCATGTGTGCCATGGATGTATTCATGTGCTTTCAGTATTAATGCTGCAGACATTTCTTCCATAGGAACTGCGCTACTCACTTCGATCATTAGAGAAGTATGCCCCATGGATAAGAAAAATTTTTCTAGTGACTAATGGGCAAATTCCCTACTGGCTGAACCTAGATCATTCACGCCTCACCATTATTACTCATGACCAGATCTTTGTTAATAAAAGTGATCTTCCTACTTACTCATCTCCAGCTATTGAAAGTCACATCCACAGGTAAGGATTTGTTCTGCAATAATTTGTAAGGGAATTCTTTTACAATTTCTTGGAATTTCTTTCCAATAATCTGGCTAGGATTTCTTTTGCTATCTTCTTGTAAGGAATCCTGTTGCAATATTCTGCAACATATTAATTTGCAAGTTATTGTACAGGGTTGCATCCTTCTTATATAATCATTCAGCAGTTTGGAAATAATTCATATGCAGTTACAAAAATCATGCAAGACTTGCCATAGTTGATATATCTCTCTGTGATCTGAATTTGCAAGTCCTTACTCCATATCAGTGTATGTAGGAAACTTTGTGTGGCATGATATGCTTTTATTCATTTTTGTGATTTCTTAAAGTTGTTAGTTCCCTCCTAAAACCTAGCTTGTTGTTGTGGGAGGGCTTAGGAGACGGGGACGGAGACCCAATGTAGAGGATTACCCTTACCTTGGGCCTCAGCCCTTGCCTCAACTAATTTTGCTTGGTCCTTTCTTCTCTTCCTTCCTCTTCCGTGTCTTCTTTATTCCCTTCTATCCCATTCTTAGGGTGTGAGAGCCATGCTGAGAGGATGAAAGGCTGGCTTTGTGTCAGTCACGAACGGCCTCTGGGAGCTGTGGGCAGGGTATTCTCTTGGTTAATTACTTAGCCATTACCCCATATGGGGACCCTAAGGAGTAGACTGTTTCTTTTCCCCAGTTTATTCAGGCTCACCATGACCAGTAATGAAGATTCTTTACCCTAAATAGAGGCATTAAGGCTTGCTCCTTCATCAAATAGCCTATCTGAATTTGATTTTGATGGTTTTCTGACCCCTGCCCCTCCTTTGACCACTGATGCTAATACCCCCTCTTTGACGCTTATGAACAACTCTAACTCTGAAATGCCCATCCAGGTTATTACTCAACCCCTTAGAAAACACCTCTTCCTCATCCCCAACATTCTCCTCTTCATGTTCTGCTGCACAACCCTCTTCAATGTCAACCCCCTCTTCCCTTATTACTATTCTTCATCCTTCTTGTCCTCCCACCCATAGTACAAGTCCACTCCACACCACCCCATCTTCCTCTAGCTCTCATCCTTCTACTACCTCTACCTCTGCAAACTGTCTTGAGTACTCTGTTTGGCCCAGTCAAGTAGTATTGATTCTTTGTAATTCCCCCCACAAATCCATTTTCCATCCTAAATCCTGATACTCCAATCTCTACCACTTCCTGGATACCTACCCCTCCTCCTCACTTTAGCTGTCGTACCAGACAACCAAAACGTTCCACTCCACACTCTCCTACTACATTCTCTCCTACACCTTCCTCAGTTCCCAAGGGAACACTCTGCTCCCTCATCCACCCCCCAATCCCTCTGTTCCTACTCATGCTACATTTAAAGTATTTGCAGATATTCATCCTCCTCCTTCCCAAGTTCCATCCACCCCCCTTCCTCCTACACTCTCTCAACATACCCCACCCTCTCTACCACTTCCGCTTGAATACTCACACGAATCCTCTGTATCATAACAGTGTCCTTCTCCAGACCCCTCTTCTCCAGACATTTTTCCTGATGCTTCACCTTCCCCAGTCTCCCTTTCTCAACCACTGGATTCTTCTCCTTCTACTTCAAAAGCCACCTCTGTTTTCCTTGATCAGTGTCCCTACTCCTTCCCCATTTACAGATACACTGCAATTCACTCAGTTGCTCTATTCCTCCTGGATATGCACGTGAATCTCTTTTACCACAATACCCTTCCCCAAACCCCCAGACACTACTCCTTCATCTACTCCTGATCCTTTATCTCAACCCTCAGATACCCAATCCGCTACTACTAAACAAACATACCTATCATACGCACCTATTATCCGTATTCCATTCCCAGTCACAGATACAATGCAATTCATTTAATTGCTCTACCTTCGTAACGTTCCCACTTATTAATCACTGCTCTATTTCATTTACTTCTCTCCTTTCCCTTTTCATTACCATACTGTCCTACAACACCCTCTGATCTTTGATATCTAACACCCTCCCCTCTCCCTGGATTCTTCTCTTACTCTTCAACAGCTATCTCTATTCTTCCTTGAAAATTTTTTCCTATACATTCTCCAGTGACAGATACACTGTAATTAACTCAATTACCTTACCCTCTTACTCAATTACCCTCCCCTTTATACTAATTGCTGCTCTAATTCACTTGCTCCCCTATTCCCCCTTTTCACTACCTTACTATCCTATAACGCTCTTAAACCTTTGACATGTAACACATTTTATCTTAATCTTTAACTCTCCTTTGCCCTTTCTCGTGCAATACTTTACCATAGTGCTACATGACCTTTGATGTCTTGTACATTTATTTTTAAGCATTAAACATTAAAGTTGTTAGTTGGTATTCCACATATATAGTTGTGTATGTTTTTTTTTTTTTTTTTTGTATGCTTACTAAAGATCATCATTACAGAATTCCAGGACTATCTGAGCATTTCCTGTACTTGAATGATGATGTAATGCTAGGATCAGAAGTATGGCCAGATGATTTCTACTCTCCATCAACAGGCTACAAGGTGATTATTTATCCTTATTTGGCTTTATGAACTAGGTTTTCTGTATTGTAAAAAATGAATGCAGATACTAGTTGATCTGTGATTTTCAGATTTTTAGAAAGTAACGACTTTTTTTTAAAGAGCATTGCTACATTGTAGGCATATTGTTGTTACTGTACTTAATTTTTTTTCAGACTGAAGTGTGTTATAGGGTAAAGTAAAAAACTAACTTCAATGAAGTTTCTAATATCATCAACTTGTAACAACACTGGCCAGTATCTGAAGAAATATGATTTGAGGTTGTGTAGAATGAATTAAGATATATTAGCCAAGGCAAACAATTGAGGATTGAGTCTGGCAAAGATACCTTAAAGTTTATGCATTTTATTATTATTGCTCTGAAGTGTTAATACCATTGCTTCAGCAATATTCAGAATTAGATTAAAACAATTACCTCCAAAAGAAATATCTCGGATTCCAACTCGTATCTTTCTGGCCTCCATCATTGGATTAGGGTCTTATTTGAATGAAAAGAAAACCATAACAGAATTTTAGATATATCTGTAATTTGAAATTGACTCCCATGCACATTAAAATCCATTTTGTAGTCTGAAAGTCACATTTAGTGTGTCTCTACAGGTTTATTTATCATGGTCTCTCCCGGAATGCTCCTCTGGCTGCCCGGGCTCCTGGCTTGGGGACGGATACTGTGACACTTCATGTAATACAAGTGCTTGTGAATGGGATGGAGGAGACTGCACGGGAGGCAAGGGTGATGGAGCAGGTCTTGACATGGATTACGACTTTGGAGTTGATGACACGCCTGACTTCTGTGCTTCCTCGTGCTCTGATCTTTGGTTGGCTGATAAGTACTGCGATCATGTGAGTTTTGATTCTGGCTCATATTTTGCGGTGTGTGTACCACTGAGTGCGGTTGATGTGATTAGAAGTATAATCATTCATGATTGTTTTTGACAATTTTTATTGTTTTGTTTAATTATTATTATCATTATTATTTTGATTGTTATTATTTTTTTATTTTGTTCATTATTATTTGTTGTTGTTGTTATTATTATTATTATTATTATTATTATTATTATTATTATTATTATATTATATTATTATTATTATTATTATTATTATTATTATTATTATTGTTTTTATTATTATTATTATTATTGTTTTTATTATTATTATTATCATTAATTATCATTAAGTACCATTGATTACTGTCATCGTTGTTGTCATCATCGTCATCGTCATCGTCATCGTCATCGTCATCGTCATCGTCATCATCGTCATCATCATCGTCATCGTCATCATCATTATATAATCATTGATATTAATGTTATTATTATTAGCCTATTATCATCAGAATATATTTTGTTTGTAACAAACCCTTTCTACTTTCAGGCATGCAATGTTCCAGCTTGCGGATATGATGGTGGAGACTGTGGAGTTGAAAATATGAAAAAACTGCATGAATTAGCTGCACCGACCTCATCAAATATCACCTATATTTTGCCAAAAGGTAAGTTTAGTTTAGGGAAGATAATACAGTTTGGAATGAAAACATGAATAGTTATTAATGTAATTTTTTCGTTTCTCTCATTTTATTATTATTATTACTTTGTTTGTTTATTTATTTGTTTTTATTATTAGTATTTTACTTATTTATTTCTTTATCTTTATTAGTATCATTTGATTTTTTGTTATGATTATTTTTGTCTTATTAATTTATTCACTTATTATTATTATAGTCTTTAGCACACTTTTTTTGCCCTGTATTGTTAGGTCTGTTTTTTATGAATAAGTCTACCATGCTCTAACTGGTTTTGTGTTAAATTTACAAAAGGTTTTGTATTTTCCTTTGATATAAAGATTATCATGTGCATCTGCAGGTGTATCTGTAGCATGGATGAATATCTCAACACTTCTAACACCCAACAAGACCATTGAAGGGCGGCACACTGAGCATGCTGGTGTTCGAAGCTTGGCAGTGAATACAGCGCAGAAAGTCCTCTTCATTTTCCTGAAGAACAATTTGACAACGACTTTACAGCTTGAAGTTAATATTAGTAGCAAAGAGCATTCTGAAATGGTGTGTAATTCCTTATGGTTCTTGATTTCTAAGAATTGGGAACATGACTTTTTTATTCAGATATAACACAAGGTTTTCATGGAGGATAAAGTTGAACTTAGTTGAAACACATTTTACTCATTAAAATCTAATGTTTCTTTCAGTATTTTCTGACAATGAAATGGAATACCATTGTGAATAAGACTGAAGTGGCTAAAGTTACAAAAAACACCACTGAAAAAACGGTTATAGTTTATAAGAACTATACATATGAGGAGGTCTCGCCCAAAGTACTGGCCAAGAAGATAGAGACAGCAGGCACGGAGGAATATGAGTATGGTCTAGTGAATGTTAATTCTTCAAACTTACCTCAGTCTCTGATCCAGGCCATCTTGCATTTAGAAACTTTGCTTAGAGATGGAGAGCTTACACAAAATGGTTTCAAAAGAAAGAAGTCTAGCCTCATATCAAAATTCATGGAAGAAAATATAGGACATGAGCTTGTGTTCGATCAGAAATATGGATTTCCTGACAAAGAAGACACAACAAAGAAGAATCCAGAAAGGAAAAGTATTGACATGAATAACTTACAAGTCCTTAAAGAAAATGTTGATAAAGAGAATGAAACAAACACTTACATGACTCATCCAAAAGTACATGAAAGCAAAGAACTGAATCTGTATATGAACACTAGACATCTTCTTTTTTCACCTCTTGATGACTACACTTACATGGATTCAGAGGAAGAAGGTGATGAAATGGGGAAACTGAACCCAAATGATAGGTATGTGGCTAATAACATTAGTGATGGCGCCATAGACTCTTACAAAGGAAACCTCCCATGGGAAAAGGAGGGGCTTTTCCATCAGAATTCATTCAGTGTCAAACGTCCACCGCCGGTTTTCACTAGATTTCAGGCTTCAAAAAGGCACCTATTGGACATGTTTGCTGAGTCATTACTGCATGTAAACCGCCTCTATAACTCGGAATTTGGCTACCAGGCAAGGAGAGTCCCAGCTCACATGCCCCACTTTATCAGCAAAAGCATCATCAGAGATTTGCAAGACAGGTAAATGGAATCTTTCATATAAATATTTGAGTGTGTATGGGACCCTGAACAGTTTCCTTGTTAGTGAAGTCCTTCCATTATAGAAAATAAGTAGTTTGTTTTCTTTCTTCCTATCTTTATTTCAGTAATTATTGAGAAGTTAATGTCTTTTTCAATGTTATTTATTATTAATGATTAGTTATTTAGATATTTGTATTTTGGATGTTTCATATTTTATGTGCAATTTATTGTAAAGTAATGATTTTTTTTGTTGTTGCATACCGTTATGTTATTTACTGAAAGTATTTAAAGTAACAAATTATTTATTTTGTTATGACATTAGCATGGCATTCTATTGTAATTTCATTCTCTATATTCACCTCTTTCATATATATCGAGATTGAATGCACTATATTACCTCAGACTCATTTTTTAAAAATTTATTTATTTTTTATTATTATTATTTTTTTCCCCAAATGTTGATTGTTACAGATTTTCAGAGGAGTTCCAGTTAACATCTTCACACAAGATCCGTCAGGCTAACGATATGCAGTATGCCTTTTCCTACTTCTATTTCTTAATGAGCAGGAAAAGAATAAGATCTGTCGAGGAAGTCTTCAGAAGCTTTGATACAGACAATTCCGGGTACGTTGACGACAACTTTATCTTTCTGTGTTGATTGTGTACATTGTGCATCTCTTCTCATTCTGTTTTAGAAAAATCAAAGCTTATATTTTTTGTAGTTTGTAATACGTTAGATTCCATGTTAAATGATTAGCACATTATTATACTTTACTTTATTGCAGGACATTGTCAGACCGAGAAATACGAAACTTCTTAACTCGCTCAAATGATCTGCCACTGTACTACAGTTCTGTTCAAGCATTCCATAGAATTGTGACTAATTGCTCCAATAGCATTGAGACACAGCCTGTACCTACTCCAGTATATGAGCGATACACTGATTCAGATCTGGTAAGTTATCTTTATTCTTTTAGAAAATGTTATAGGATTTATATTCTATGATTTTTTTTAGATTTTGGTGACTGTATATCCTGGATATTATAATTAAATACAAGGGTATGGCTTTTAATTTTTTTTCTTTATCTCTTTTTCTCTAGCCAACTGTGAGTCTGGAATTGGTTTTGAAATGTGAAGACCTTTCAGCACTTATGAAGAAAATGGAAAAGGTAAATTATTATAAATACACC